CTTGTCATATATACTGTGACTTTTGTTTCCTGTGTTGTGAATTCGACGTTTGAGAAAAATATTTAAAATGATGTTAACTGTGGAGCGTCAGAATATAAATACTCATGGAGAGAAAAAAAAGGTGGATAGAACAATAACCAACCATGCATATTATAGCAGTTTCTGATGTTATTTTTGTCTTGTCAGCCAGTCGTAGTTACCTGAATCGATGAAGAAAAAACAAAAAATACTTTTAATTATGAATCAACATACTTAAACTAATGAATCACATTGTATTCTCAATCTATCTAACCGATTTCTGGTTTGATCAGATCATTAAATTGAATTTAGCTGATATGAAAGAAAATATACACCCACATTTAAACTGTCAAAATCACAAAATTTTAAATATCAATGTAAAAATGATAACAATAACCTTTAATTGCTAAACAAATTGATAAAATTCTGTTGTAAAAAAGGATATTTGCTTTCATCGAATTTTTTATTCAATCTCTATTGCTATTGAATTCACCTATGATAGTTCAAACTTTAATTGCTTCTTTTGACAACTTATAAGAATAAAAATATCATTTAACACTTATTAAAATTAAATAAATTTTAATATTTCCATCCGTCATATATCTTTGATAATTCTTACTCGATTTTATTAGAAATATTCGAAAAAACAAATAATTAATTTTTATTTTTAATTGTTTTTACTAAATTTTTCAACTATCAGTACGTATTATAGTTTTATATCAAGAAATACAACAGTTTAATATTATTAAAAGTGCAAAAGAAAGTAATGATTCATCAATAGTCATCAACGGTTTATAATACTCCATTCGATATGTAAGCATACATACTATTCTTTCAAAGACGGCTTAGGAGAAATTCATTCCGTATAAATTAACTGATAGTGAAATCTATCATAATCAATCTCAATTGAATTTGAGCAAATGGTAAAATCAGATGCCGTCACATATAAAACGAAGTTTACATTCGAGACTCAATTTTCAACTTTTTGATTAACAACATCTTATTACTATGCTAGTCTGCTGTAAATCTCAAGATTATTAAACTCATTTACTCTAAAGAAAAGGTTGATCATCTATTGAGATTATTCACGAATGATACTTTACGTCAACACTCTTATTTCCATCAATAATACAGTTTTATTTCAAAAACTCACTCCAAAAATATTTTCAGCACACAGGTCATTTGGTATTTCTCTTTTCGCTCGAAATGTTCATTACAGATATACGCAAAAATTGAATAAATTAATATTCAAATATTAATCGATCACACTTTGTTGAATAAAGATATCAATTATTTCAAGCCTTTTTTGATTTGAACGATCCAATGTTCGCTTAGCGAGTTAAAGATTCTAACGCTCATATATGTGACCCCATAATTGATTCAATTTTGTTTGTTGACTTGCTAGAAATTGTCCGAGGTTCAATGATTTAATGGTGGAATTATTTGTAAAAAATCATTAATACGTGTTATCATTATTGTTGATAATGATGGTTCATGAAACTCTTTAATTAATGATGCAGATTGTCGTATTAAACTATATATATATATATCTTGTTGAGAAAAGATCTGTTGACGTTGTTCAATTGTATTAAAATTTAAAACTGTTTGTAAACGTGTACGCATTTGTTCTAAACAATTAGCTAATTCATCAATTGGTTGAAGTATATCATTCTGTTGATTTGTTGAATTATTATTTGATGAAAAATGTGGACGTAATGATTGACGTAATGTATAAAGTTCAGTTTCAAAATGTGTTTGAGCATCAAGTTGTTCTTTTTTAGTTGCTTCACGTAATTGTATAATAGGGTGGGTGTGGGTGTGTTCGCTCATACAAACCCACACCCATACCCTCAAAATGGCAGTCGGTTAAGGGATTTAGTTGAGTTTGGAATGATAATACAATAAAAAAATGAAAATCATATTTTGTTAGTTTTAACTCTAATGAGTAGAGTTGTTCTTTTTATTACATTTTTCTTATCTAAATTTATGATTTGAACCAGTCGAGTGTTGTTATATATCAAGCCGAAAAAGGAATTGTATCTTTTATAGATAAGTTTAAATTATTTCGAACTGCGAGGATATTGATTTACTTTTGAAAAAGAAAAAAAGCCTTTTCAAAAACTCGATTGATATTTTTTATCACGGGTATATGCGAGACAATCAGCGATTGGCTTTTTTTTCTCATAGAAAGTACAGAATTGTTTACATTAAATTATTTTATTACCCAACGTATTAAGATTTTGTATGATCTGTTCAAGCGTAATAGATAGAGATTTTGTTTTTCTATTTCATTCACATTGAGCAGGGGTTCGATGGTGTACGTTGTTTATTCGTTTATTTTTTGTTTAATAAAGATTAAAAGATTTTAGAAACTCATGTGAATTCAATGAGAATTTTTCGTATTACTATGAATCATAAAATGATCAATTAACGCATAAATATATGAAAAAAATCGTTAGTTGTAAACAAACATATTACATATTCAAATCATAGTACTAAATTATACAAACATATGAGAATATGGGTGAGAATTGATTTAAACAAATTCAATTCAAAGTAATTCGTCATCTGATAAATTTGACAAAAATCTATATGTTCTCGTACAAAACTACGTGATATCACGTTGATCATAGAGCTGCTTTTACGCACAAAGATTTTCTCATTTAGAAAAATTTTTTCATTTTATTTTTTTTCGCGCATTCCAATCTCAACTAAATTCTTATGTCAACTGTGACATTTATTTTGTTAAACTGTTGTTTATTTCCGTCAATAGTGACACTGCTAAGGTCTTATTCCTATCGTTTTTAAACTTTTCAACATTTTTACTTTCGACTAAACTCAGACATGCCATTTTAACTGGTCAAGAATGAAAAAAAAGTTCGCGTAGGCTAGACTATTAAACTCAAATTGACCGTACCAAATCAAATTATTTTCACCATATTCTTGTTTACATATCAAGAATATAAAATATTCTATGACGATACGAATGAAATGAGAAAACACAATTAATCATCTTTTTGTAAAACTGAATCATTAAAGTTTTACATAGTAGACTCAAGTAAGCATATTCGATGTATTGATTTAAAATATTCTTCATTATTAATGAAGTAAGTACGAATTGACAATAAGAAAAAAGAGAAGTTATTTTTATTCTTATGTTATGTAGATTTTTACGAATTTAGTTAACATTTATTGAAAATACAGTTATATTATCAGGAATAACACGTAATCGATGGGATGAAATACTTACCTTGTACTCAACTACCATTGATAGATCAACAAAAATGATATTCAAACTGTAATTATTCTTGCTTTAATATTTGGTTTTTTACTTATTACTATGTTTTTATAATTATGAATAAAAAAAGACGTCATAATTTAAGTGCAACCGGGTGGTTAAGGTCAAAAAATAGAACATAGATACGTCACTATTTGTATAGATACTGATATTGAAAAATGAATCATTGAGATAAGTATAAGTGTCATGGGTAAATTCACGATATTGATCATCAATAATGTGTTGTTCAATCTGATAACTTTTCAAGCAATATGAAACTATATAAAAAAAATTAAAGCTTCAACGTGAATCTTTTACTTGTATTTCGCAAGATTATTCCAAGAAAGAGTAAGAAGTAATTTAAAGTCATATAAAATCTATACCTATTACAATAAGTTTTGTTGGAAAGACGAGTACATTACATTACTGTATCGTTTATACGACGACTTTTTTCCTAGTATAAAAAATATATGACTACGCTTGTTAAGAATACGTACTTTGTGTTTATTGATGTGTGACGAAAGAATGACTAAGTCATTGGCGATATAAAACATACTCTCGCTTCGATTAACTTTATTCATTCGTTGAATAACAACGACAGTATGTCTCAAGCAAATATTGCTTATAAACGTGATTCAGATGCAATTTCTCTTGGTGACTTACCGTCAGACAAGCAATATACATTATCACCAGCGGCCTTGTCAGGACGCATACGATCAATAAGTAATCAAATAGCACATGGTCTTCATCGTAGTTCACTCAATGTATTACCTGTCGAGATTGATAATAATCATCCATATGATAATTCATACGAACAACAAGTACCGAATAATGAAGATGATGATGATTCATATTATTCATTAAAAAATTTTCGTGAAAGACGTCGTGGTAAACGTGATGAAGATTCTGGTTTATCACGACGTATTAAACGATTCTACAAAGATCAAGACGAACTTATTGATGTTTATGAACAAGTACATAATCGAGGAAATGGAGATGATAGTGCCAATGTCGCACACACAAGAACACAAAAGATATCAAATATTTTAACTAAAGTTTCACTCGCTGCTAATATTGTATGTTTAACTATTCTTTTAATTCATTCAATTCAAGAAATATATCTATTTTTAGGCTTTATTCATTTTGAAAATTGCTGGTGCAGTTATATCACAATCACTTTCAGTTATTTCTTCTGTCATAGATTCAGCTGTTGATCTTGCAAGTTCAATTATTCTATTTTGGGCATGGTATAAGATTAAAAGACGAGATAAATATCGTTATCCTCAAGGTATTTTCTTACATAAGACTATAGATATAGATTTTATTAAAACATTTTTTATTTTTGTTTAGGTCGAACACGTCTTGAACCTATAGGAATTATAATTTTAGCAGTTATAATGTGTGCTGCATCAGTATTAGTTATTTATGAATCGATTAATACAATTGTTGATGATGCAAACTTTTTCAAGGCGGGACCGAATACCACAAAAACATTACAAGCTATTGATATGAGTGCATTTCCTATAGCAGCTATAGTTATAACAGCTGTTGTTAAAGGAATTTTATTTGCTCTATGTGTTCGTGTTAACACACCAACAATGTCAGCATTAGCTGCTGATCATATTAATGATACTGTTTCAAATATTATTGCACTTGTTTGTGGTATTGTTGGTAAATTATAAATACAAATTTCTTCAATACAATAAGTATAATATATATTTTAAAGGTTCATATGCATATAAAAATAAAATAAACCAGAAAGCAATTTTTATTGATCCAATTGGTGCTATTTGCATATCGGTTTATATTATAATAACATGGATTAAACAAATGGGTGGTTTGTTTCAATGGTTTTATTTTTTTCTGAATTTGATTTATTTTCTTTAGATCAAACAAAACGTTTAAGTGGATATACAGCTGATCCGAAGTTTCTTTCACAACTAACAGTATAAAGATCTTTCTTTTTTTGAAATTTTGTTTTCTTATTGTTGTTGTTTTGTATTATTTCTAGTGGTTAACATATCATCATTCTCCATTAATTGAGAAAATTGATACAGTTCGTGCATTTTATTTTGGTACATCGTATTTAGTTGAAGTTGATATTGTTTTGCCAGAAGATATGTTACTTAAACAAGCACATGATATTGGAGAAGGACTACAGAAGAAAATCGAAGATTTACCTGAAGTTGAACGAGTAAATAAATTTATGTTTAAATTTCCTATATAAATAATTTTATTTTTAGGCATTTGTTCATCTTGATTATGAACATTCTCATCATCCATCAGATGAACATAAAGTTGTGTAAAAATATAAGAGACTTTAAAAAGCGCTTAATAGTTCATTTTTATTTATTTACTGTGTTGTTATGTTATTTAATGTTGATGAAATAAAATTAATAATAAATCAGATTTTACATGAAAAAATGAATGTATTGACTACAGTCGAAAACTTCGTATATGATGTAAGGTAAAATGTTAGTAGCGTTGATGTTATGAAAGCAGTAGAAAGAAGATTGACTGGCGTGGTAAATAATCAACGAACATGAGATGCAACTATTCATATGGATAAAAATATGCAAAATAATTTTTTTTATAGTATATAAAAAGTCATTTTAGTGAATAGAAACGAAATAGATCAATTAATAGTAATAATAAGATTAAGAGATTGATTTGATCGATATAAAATAAATAGAACAGTATTTCACGTAGATTTTTCTTCTTTTGTGATTGAGATTTTCTAAGTATTTTGTAGAATCCGTTCTACAAGGAAGAGACATGAATATTTCAGTTAGATTTTATTTATTACATGCGATGATAAAATGAAAGAAGGAAATATGATAAACGTGCAATTGTGTATTATTCTCTTTTCACTTTTATAATGTTCGTTGAATCGTTGTTTCTTTTCTTAAATTGTTTATGAGAAGGAACGTGTATAGAGTAAATAGTTTTGTTCTATATCGATGTGTGTTGATAGTCAAAACAAAAGTACTGCAAATACTATTTATTTTTTGTATAATAATATTTTAATTATAAAAAGAAAACACATCCATTTATGTAATTAAAAATGTTGTCATAGTTTATATTTAATCATTATGTAGTTTAGCAAATTTTTTTCAATATAGAAAATGATAATTTACAGGAGCTATGTAATAATACACTATGAGATAGTCAATTATTTTATATCTTTATAATACCAAACGTTGAATAAATAAATATATAATAAATGATGAGCACAGAAAACAAAATATATGATACAATGAGTTTGACCTATTTTTTATTCATTGTTTTTAATGTATATTTTTTTTTGAAAGTTAGTATATAAATATTCTATTTCATTTTAATAAAATAATCTTTTTCGATATTTTTTTTCTTTTAAATTTATATATGGGCACGGCCAAGCGTGACGGAATTTCATTTTTTTAACT